TTTTATTAGTAAACAAAATATATAAATATCTAACAGTGTTTAAACTGACGCAAGCTATAGCGTGTATGACTTAAAATAAATACTTTCGCTCTTTACAGCACACAAAGCCGTCTTTCTGAAATTCAACTCAGTATCATTATTGACACTTAGATTGAATATATATGAATCCATTACCTCTTTGATATATTTTCTGTACTTCTACAGGAGAAGGCATGTAAAATACAGGTGTTTATAAGAGCGATCTGTCTGGGATGTACTTTTCCACCCCAGACAGGGATAACATTATCCCTATTATAAATTTTCTGTACTCCTACAGGAGACGGCATGTTAAATACAGGTGTTTATAAGGACGATCTGTCTGGGATGTCCTTCTCTACACCAGACAGGGATCACGACCTGTGGGGTGATAATAACTGTGCTTCTTACTGGAGAGGAGGCTGGTGGTTTAACTGGTGTCATCAAGCCTATCTAAACGGTGAATGGTCATCGGAGTCGGCCTGGTACTACCCATGGTATCCTGAAGTAACAGATGGATCGTATGTGAAGGGGACGACCATGATGGTCAGACGTCACTAGGTAGACTTCATTAAGTCCTTAAATAACCAGGTTTTTTTGTATTACCAAAAAAAATATCAGTTGTTTGAAGATATTTTTTAATAGAAAAATGTGCTATTGTTTCTGTGAATCATTAATTTAATTCCTTTTTTTACAGAAGAATGATCATCCATCAAAGGATTTAAATATAATATTCCTCTGCGGTGTTCTTCCTTTAACTAATGTTTAACACCAAATGGCAAAGTTGTTAACTAATATTTTTTTTCGGTAAAAGAAGGGGAGTTAAACATTTCTTTAAAGCAATAAATTATTGTATTTTTTGTCTACTGAATGTATTTAGTAAAAGATGTACATTATATGTGTTGTAATAAACTTGAACTTAGAAATATTTAGTTTTTATTTACAAACACTGATAATTGAAGATGCCTGGACGAATAATTAGAATGATGATTGACTTATTGCTTAACCTATTATGGTGGAACTTCCCTTATCCGACACATGGGCAATACAATTTTACTGTGGTGCCCGCCATTTAATTTCATTTCTCATTTCTTAAGATTTTAAGATATTTATTAATGAATTATAATAATAGATATATTTGATGTTCATGTACTGCAGAATAGTACGCCTCTAAGATTATGCTTCTCTAAAAGCATACCCCTATCTTTTTTCATCCATGTTGTCCATGCATCTAGGAAAATCAGAATTATGAATTACTGGTGTGAATTACTTCATACAAATAACTGTATATTAAAAATTTCTTATGAATATCTATTGCATAATGCAGAAAATAAATAACATTCTAAAATTAAATGGGCAAGGGATGTTAAAGATGAATTGTTTAGAATGGGACTTGGAAATTTTTGGTCTAAGCAAGATTTCATTAATATAATACAGTTTATATTACAAAGTTTATATCTTTGTACAAAGAAAGACTGTTGGATAATTACCTCCAAGATTGTAATGCTTTTTTCGAAAATTCAACAAAGTGTTTTTTGTACAAACACATTGTGTGTGACAATTTTTCAAAAATCCATGCATATTTGACAAAACATATTTAAATTCAAGAAAAAATATAACAAGAATAAGGTTATCTTCCCATAACTTAAGTATAGAAGCAGGAAGATATCAGAAAGTTGAGAGAAGCAATACATTATGTCAATTTTGTAATAATCACTGTAAAGAATATGCATATAATTTTTAACTTGCATGTCCTATTTATGAAACTTTAAGGAAAAAATATATCAAACCATATTATTTCTGACCTCAAAATATGTACAAGCTTACTCAGGTACTCAGCTTTCATGATGTAAGGTTTTTAATTAGTTTAGGGAAATTTATTCTCCATGCAATGCAATAAAGAAATAATGAATAATATAATTCATATGTATGCATGTATTATATGCTATAGTGATATTCCATGTAATAATGGAGAATTTGAAATATATCGTATGTCTGTTTTAAGAAATAATGAATTATATAATTCATATGTATACATGCATTATATACTATAGTAATTTTTCATGTAGTAATGGAGAATTGGAAAAATATTTTATATCTGTTGGTGTATCAGTATGGGAGTCAGGCAGATGGACACTAGGGGTTCCATTCCCCGCAGACATTCGTTCATTATGTATTTTTGTTTATACACACTTATGAACCGTATGGCTTAAAGTTATTGAAAAAAAGAATTATACAGTATTTGGAATAGATGATTGCATTTATTTTCCATTAATCTACTATACAAAAACCGCTTAAATGGATGTTAGTGTTTTTTTTTAAATTATGGAGAAAATTAAATAAATAGTTGGCGTCAGACGTACTGAATATTTCTTTCTACAAATCTAATTATCCCATTAATATATATTATAGCTTGAATTTTACGTGTAGAAAGAAGCGCAATGATACTAAATTCGCAATGATACTAGATTATTATTTAGCATTAAAAAATCACATTTTCTGAAGATCAATATCTTTTAATGCTACAGAAAATCATTTGAAAAGAAAAAAAATAGATTTTTCTGTTGTTAAATGCACAAGATACGTCATAGTAAACTTATATCGATACTGCAATTTTGGTTTATTTTATTTTTATACACCATAATACAGAACGGGGATAAAACGGTTACAGTGTGTGATATGCGTTTTATTCTGACGTCACAAACGTTCAATGCCGTGCAAGAGCAAAGTAATAAGCAAAAATCTAAAAACAAAATCATTTAGATTGATTGTTACTTATGTTTGAGATAATTCAAGTATTCTAAATAATAAATCAAATTTGCAAAACAAGGCAAGGTGTAAGAAAAAGTAAAATATAAGCACCGATTCATTATTTTTTAAAAATATGTTTTCTCACATATATGCAACGATTTGTGCAAACAAATTTTCATAATGCGCACTGGCACAATACTCAATTTGTTTGCAAATACCTTTGCAATTATGGACTACATATTTCTTTAAATGATTGAATGCTTAAAAGTATACACGCTATAACTTGCGTCAGTTAAAATACGATTGGAAATTGATATAATTTGTTTATCAATAAAAGTTACGAAAATACTGTAAATTACACAATTAGAATTAAACGCATTACGAAGTTATCAAATTATAATTATTTATTATCCTGTAAGGAAAGAAAAATAGCTGTTTTTAAATAAATCCATCACGTGACGCCGTCGCTACTTTTAGATTGATAAACACACGTGGCGTAAAGAAGACAAGGTAGGCTGTTTGAGATACTACTCACTTTTGACGTGGATGGCAAGCGTCTTACTTAATGGTACTTATCTTTTAAAGTATTCAGTATCAACCATCTTCTCTGTTCTGACGCATATTGACCTTATATTAATAATTGTTGTCAAAATGCAACATACCTCGTTGTCTGTGATTTCCCGTGGACATGTGTTTCTATATATAGGCCTACTGTTTACGTACTTCCTTCATCAATATTCATGAAAAGACTGAATTCTTAATTCCTATATATTGTTTTATTGTTTTGTTATTACAACGACATCTATAGTACAATTTTATGGATAGTATTATTTTTCATTACACTTCATGTGTTTTAAATCATTAATCATTTTGTTTCAAACAAAATTCGGCGTTCATATAGCGTATATGACTTTAAATAATAATGGCACAAACATCATCATATGTATTACGATAAGTCATTGAAATTTTGCGATGTGTAGACTATGGTACAATAAACCTTTTCGCGATAATTCTCGCACATGCGCATAAATGCTTCCGGACGGCAACATCCGCATTCCTGTGATATTGACATTAGGCTTAGCAACACTGTCAACAATAATGTCAAAGCGCGAAAATTTGAACAAATTAAAGGTAAATTCGCTGAAAGAAATAGCTCGCGATCAAGGAATAGAAATTAAGAAGAAGAAAAAAGAAGATCTAATTAGAGAAATTTTGACTAGCCAAGTGCCATTGATCGACTTAACACCGGTGACCAAGTCTAAAGAAGTCCTAGCAGAATGTATCTCACCTGCAACAGGAGAAAACGAGAATTTGCCACCTTATAACGCTGTACATTACAAGATACATGACCAGTCACAGATTCCAACCATTTCATTTTCTGATATATATAACTTCATGATTCTGAGACCCAAATCGACAGGAGGTAGTGTGAACAATTTTAAGGGGTTGGACAGAGCAGTGAAACATTTTGAAGCTGGCCATGTCCAGGAGATTAGCGTGTCAGAGGTAAACAAACAATGTTTTTGTTCTGTTAAAGACATAGATCTAAATCCAGTACTCCTTTTCAGTGATAAGTGCACATAGTTAATTATTTCTGTCGAAATTCTGATACAATAAGTATTTTATTTTTATAATTTGATAGTGGTGCTCATTTGTACTTATTAAGTATAATATGTTCATTTTCATATTTGTAAATGTTAGAATTAATAAATTGTGTTATTGTTACACTGTTGATAAACTGGTATGTTTAAAATACTCTCTATTTGATTTTTAGATAAATACTACTATTATATACATCAGCGCCAAGTGCCAGGCTTCGATGAAGAAGCACCAATACCAAGTTTACATATGTTTGTCTAGGAATGGACAGTCTGTGACTAACATACATCATGGATATTGTCAGTGTCCTGTGGGGTATGCATATTTTCAGAGTTTTATGCAGACAATTTTTTTTTACTTCATTGATTATAACTTGATCTAAAATCTATGATATTTTTAAAATAGGCTAGGCCAGAGCTGTAGCCACATTGGGAGTTTACTCTTTGCACTGAGTCATATCAAGCCCCAGGAAAGCTGCACGAGTAAGCCCTGCAAATGGGTAGTACCCAAAGGAAGATCTAAAAAACCCACTGGTAAGTAAATTTTTTATGGTCAGATTGTTAACAGATAACAAAAAACATATGAACTTTGAAGCTCTTTAACTGGCAAATAACATAAAACCAATATAAACAGGTCCATTAGAAACCTTGAGGTCAAAAGCAGATAAAATGGACACTGAAACCAGTGATATAGAGGATGCTTCATTTGACCCTCGCCATACCACAGACAGAGACTTCGACATAAAAACTACATTGCTTCAGCTGAGAAATTTAAAGGATATTTTCCCAAGTACAGGTACAGCTAGGTTTAAGAAGGAAAATGTGAGAAAACAAATTTTTAAATGCCGATTTACAATTTACTTAAAACATGATACAAACATACTCCAGACTTTTAATTTCTATGATTCTCATGTTATTGAACAAAATGAAAATTCAGGTATGAGCCATTTGTGGAACATCCCAGATGATGCCCCTGTAGCTGAGAGGGAGATTGAGGTGGAGACATATGAGGATCCATTGGAAATGGCATCCAAAGCATTGATTTTGTCAAATGAGAACTGTAAGAAAAAATAGGAATTACATTGTATATAATAAAATATCTTTTATATGTATCATGAACATTAGATTCATTCATATACATATCATTACAGTGCCAATCCCAATTTCAATTGACGAAGATTTGAGCGCCTATGTTGAAGAAAGAACTAAAGGTCAAAGAAAATGTTCTCTTTGGACCGAACTACACAAAGGAAGAATTACGAGTTCTCTTTTCGGAGCTGTTTTACATGCTGGACCTAACCCACGTAGTCTTGTGGACCAAATTATACATGGATCCAGTTTACAAAGGTTTGATGGAAATTAAAATATTAATAAAATATTAAATATATAAATAAAAATAATTGTAAAAATTCACATTAAACAAATTAATTCAGCATTTCAACCAATTTATATTTTTAAATATTAATTATTCTATACATCACAGGTATCAGACGCTTCCTCGTCCAGTCCAGTGGGGTGTGGACCATGAGGAAGAAGCGGTCAGAGACTACCTGACACTGCAGAATGCTGTCTCTGATGTAACAGTGGAGGCTGCAGGGCTCACTATTTATCCATCCCATGCCTTTTTAGGTGCCAGCAGTGATGGGTGGATTTGTGACAAGTCTATGCCATTGGGGAGTCAAAGAGGGGTACTGGAGATTAAGTGCCCGTACTCAATCTCTAATGAAATAATTGTAGAAAAAGAGGTATTTTTTCATATTACATTGTATTAATGTCTTTCATTTTGTCAGTTTTAAAGTTAACATAATTTTTTTAACATTTTGTTTATACTATTCATATAGGTCCATGAGCTAGCCGGAAAAGAGGGGTTCTGTCTGGAGAATACACCCGTAGGACCGCGTTTGAACCGTAGCCACAAGTACTATGCTCAGATCCAAGGAGAGATGGCAATAATGGGGTGTCCTTGGGGTGATTTTGTTGTTTGGACAGCTGCCAAGGACAGCAACTGTTTTATAGAGAGAATTGATTTCGACTCAGAGTTCTGTACTCGTATGATGCCAAAACTAGTTGAATTTTTTGTTCACCACATCTTGCCTTTTTATAAATGTACTGAGAATTAATTCACTTCCTGAGCCAATGGCTAATGTGAGCATTACCTAATGATCAAAAAGTGTTCAGCTTCTGTCATCTGTAGACATTTGTTCACATTTTTTAATTTTTCTCCATCCACTGGGTGAGTTACTTGCCTTATTAAAGGATCCTTGGGTAAAGGGAAGATAATTAAGAATTAGTGTTGATTAGGGGGTATCAAAGTAATGCAGAAATATAAAGGAAATGTCTTTTAAAATCTTTTTTTCAATAATAGCAAATGCATGATAATTAAGTCATATTAATCCAGGTAGTGTAGATTTAAGTATAGTTTAAGTTCAAGTATATGGTAACACATGCATAGATTATTGTAAAAAAAAAAAATCACATTTGCACCTATATATAGTAAAAGTGAAAGAAAGGAAAATCAATATGGATTCAGGTTATATTTATTTTTCAATGTATTTTTTTTTTCACATTAATCACATTCCTTGCTGTTATGGATTTTTTTGCAACATAAATTCAAATTTGATTTAAAAGAACAAAATATTATTTATTTTCATACATTTAAATCTGTTCAACTTCATAGACTGCATGAGTATGTAGTATACTGTTCAAAACATATGGTATCTGCTAAAAGTATAAATGAGATCAACATATAACACAAAAATAATTTAAAGAAAAATTGAGTTTTATGACCTTTTAAATTTTACTCTCTGTCAGTATGATTAATCCATATTTTTTGTGTAGAACATTTTTTAGGTACCTTAAATATAAACAAAACCTCCTATACTCAAAATATTTTGAACACAGTAATTCAATCATTTGGAATTATAACAACCAGCAACACCAATTGCAAGTTTATATTATGTCAAAATGTATTCTAAAAATTTTGTTTTGTGTAATTTTTAACATTTCATTCCAGAAACCAATGCCATCCAATGGCATGTAATTCATTGGGCTTTTATATTTTAAAATACAAAATGATTTAAAGGCATCATTTCAATCATAAGATTTTTCTCACAATAGGTACTTCAGAACCAATAGAGAAATGGATATTATTTTGTGTACATCAAAGAATTTCCAGATAATATCAATAGGTTGATAAGGCACTCTTGAATTATATAGTTTATAAAACATAGCTTTTATTATGGTTTTTTGTACAGGTTAGGATATACAGGCGGTGGATGAACCTTTTTGTAAGAACATTATACAAATACATATGTATACTGAAAGCCTTTTTATAACATTGTTATGCAAAAATTAAAATTGAAGAGTTGCTCCCCTTTAGACATCTCATTCTGTTTATAGAAGAAAATATTAAATACTGGTTACATTACTTATGATACCAAATAATGTTAACATGTATGAGTGATTTCTTAACTATTTTCAAAATATCTTTAAAAGTAACACAAATTGTGAAATTGGCAATTCAAGAGATTTTCAAAATAATTACAGGATACTCTAGTCTACTCTGATATCTCCATTGTAGGAATGCCTGGCAAGATGCCTCATATTTTGTGAGGAATCTTCTTTCTTTGTGTGAAAGTTACAATTTAATAATTCAATGACAAGCTGTCTTGAGAAAAATTTTATATTAGTGTGAAAATTGTTGTCAATATCTAAAATGAATATACATCATATATCTAGACTAATTAAGTGTATTCCAATTAAAATTTGATACATTGAATTTTGTTATACATTGTATATAGCAATGACAAATTAGTTATTTACCAGAGGAACATCAAGATTTGTGAGCCAACATACAACTTGAAACATTTTGGTCAAAAGAGGCTTAAGAGTAAGTGGCATAACACCATCAAAGATATGAAAATTCTTTACTCTGCCTATGCTTCTCTCAACATGAATACGCAGAGAAGCGATATCTTGAGTTTCAAAAACTTCATCCGTAGAGAACTGTGGTGCACTTCCTCTAAAGGGTGGAATGTTTAACTTGCATTTCTTTTTCTCCAACAAATCCCTAATGGTAAAACCTTTATCAGCCATAACACTATCATTTTCATCTAACAATTCAATTAAACCTGAAGATATTGTGAGTTCTCTATCAGATGTTTTTTCCAGGCCAACCTTCAGATACAAATGTTATAACTCCAGATGGACTAATACCAATCAAAAATTTGGCAGTGGTATGGTGCTTGTAATTTGAAAAAGTTAAACTTTGGGTGTCAAGACGAGATGATTTTTGTATAAAAATTTCTGTACAATCTATGATAACTCGAACTGAAGGATATCTGATTTTAAATGAAGATGGCATAGTTCTTTGAATAATATCTCGAGACGGGAAAGGGTTTAAACATTTCAATTCTTGCCACAGTAGACAGATCCATGTAGAAAAATATTTTGAAAAAGTACCCTCTGAAATTTGAAATCGTTCAGCAATATCGCTGGTCAAGAGTCCAACCTTCAGTCTAATAAGAACTGCAAACATCTGATCGATGTTATCCAATGCCCCTGCTGATGCTCTCTTGCGGTCAGAAGAAATATCTGTGCTTGTCCCTAGCCAATACTTCATTTTCTCTGCCTTTGGTTTTAGAAAGCTAAAAGCATGCAAAAAATTTTGTCAGTACATGTACATGCAATTTCATAAAATTATGAAAAAAAAGTTAAAAAACTGATAATAAACCCCATCGTCTCAAGCCACGGTCTGGAGTCCGCATATATAGCTATCTCCTACCCGTGGCTGCTTGATCACAAAAAGAGTCATATTCTTGAATATTTACGCCTCTCTATTGTGATGTCATATTCAGTCAGTGGCCAATACTGTTTCCATCGCAAATGAAATCAACAAATGATGTCAACAGTATACAAGACATATTTCCTATACTGCGATTGGATATTGAAAGGTCGCAATAAAGTTCATCAACCGACTATGCTTTACTCGCATTGGTCAATATTTTAATGAGCTACAAAGAATTCTTTCCTCGTTCAACCAAGGCCAGAATGGGAGAGGATATCGTACTTTTTGGCCGTGGTTTGTGACGATGAATAAATCCTTGCAGAAGTAATAGTAAATTTTATACATGTTATAAACATACCTGAATAGCCACATGAATACAGCAAATGTTGGAAGTCCAGTATAAAAGCGGGTCTTGGAATCATCATCTGTAATTTTCTGGAAACTCCATTTATGTTTCTTCACTTCCATTTGGAGATCTTTCACCTGTTTCTTTAATGAGTCATTTTCTGCCATCAAAGGGTCAGTGTCACACTGCATACCTACGGTCAGTCATGAAAAACATGTTTAAAAGAAGTGTAAAAATGCCTTGTTAAATTATTGTTATATAAGGGCAAACATTAATGTAAATATATACTGTATACAGGGTTATCTTTCGCCCTGTGTTATTTTTGCCCTTTCACATTTGGAAAGAAGTTTGCCCGGGCATTTTAAAATTGCTCAGAAAGATTTTTTTAAGATATTATACTATTTTAATACTATACTATAAACCTAATGTATATTAGTTTTGTGTATCTTTTTCCTTCTTTTGAATTTTTTTTTTCCAACTAATATAGAGGAATGTGTCAAATAAGAATAATAGATGTCCTCAAAATAGAAAATTTATTTTATATTAAAACTTAGCTCTTTACCTTTCTCTTTGAAAGTCTTGATGTTAACATCATCTACAGGTAAATCTATGCAAGAGCTGTCTGTAAAAGGTGGGATATCTTCATTTGTTGTTCCTTGGTGACAATAGCTGTGAGAAAACAAGCTAAACCTGAGATGCTGCTGTAGAGTCTGTGTTTCTCTTTCCTCTTGCTCATTTAACTCCTGTTTAAAGGACAGATTTATGAATCTGCAGTTGTTGGAAGAATAAAGACATATAATCATGGGACTATAAAAATATTTGATCAATGTGAATTACTATGTAAAATTTTTCCCTAGGAGGTAGTGGGGTATTAATGTTTGTGGCCTAGTCATACTTTTGGAGTTAGACAAGAGTTGTGGAGTGTGTATATTAGCAAGGTTCAGGGATTAAACTACAAGCTTTAACAGATTTTAACTATCAGTAATAGTAATTCAAAAAAAAATATTTGACAACATTAATTAGTGTTATTTTAAGTATATAACCTGTAAGAATTGGGTAAATAGTATGGTGTCTGATAAATTTTAAATGTCTAAATATATTTACTAGTATGTGGTACTACATAATTATAATGTGCAAGATGCACTCACACTTTGACCCTTTATAATTGCAACAATATACTTAATTAAATGTACGTGATTGTATAATTAAGTAAAAAAAAAAGGAGAGATTTCAGAAAATAAAAAAACACATTAGGTAAGGGATAAGATAATGAATTATTTACAATTAAATAGGGCAACAAAGAACCTTTAGACAGAATCCATACATCATAGTGAGCCCATTTAGCTCTAAACAAAGTACTCAATAATGAACATATTAAGTAAACTTATTCATAAATTCACCTGAAGTAAATTTCTTTTGCTATGTCTGGCATTGCGGGCAGTCTCCGACTTCGACTTTGGCTTTATTTTATATTTAAATAAGGTTGGACGATAGTTCTCATCTGCAGGGTCGTCACTGTGCCATGATTCCACAAAATGTTCGGAACAAACCCTGCTGTACTCATTTGGAGACCAGTTATCTCTATTGATGGCCCTAATCCAAGCTGCTCTCTTCTTCCTGTCTTTAGGGAAGCGAAAAAAACTCACACCTTTCTCTTTGGTTTTACTTCCTTGTCTGTTAGAACATTTAAAAACTACGCATTGTATTACCATTGTTTACGTTGCTAATGTAAACTCTGGAATGCCGTCCGGAAACATTTATACGCATGCGCTAAAAACAGGACCGCAGTTAACGTGAAAAGGCTTATTGTCAAAAAATATCATAGACTACAACTTATTTTTAAATAAATAGGAAAAGTTTTGGGGGAGTTAATAATAAAAGTCAAAAATGTGTTTCTGAAAGAAAGGTGCTCTCGTACTACAGCTTATGATGGATGTTGTCGTTTGCAGGTCAAACACCAAGGTCAAGAGAAAATTATGTTTGGCACCAAAAAGTCCTCATAATGAGTTCACCTTTAAAATTAAAATAAAAACAATAAAAGCAGCAGCACTTCAAT